ACGTGTCCAATAAAATAAATAAATGACACAAAGTTTAAATAAAGTAAAAATCAGCAAACAATGTGGAACCAATTAAATAAAAATGTTTAAAAAAAACTTCCAAAATCAACTTAGATAAAAGGCAAAAGTCAACAGGCTTTTCAAAATCCAAAATATTGCCAAACAGCCGCTTTTGCATCTAGTTTCTAAAGTAATCATCCGCGATCGTCTTGTCTGTCTCACCTCACCTCACTCTTCTTGTTAGGCTGCGTTTACACTGCCAATCTTAATGCACAGATCCGATCTTTTGACCATATCCGATTTTTTGGCACGTCTGTTTACATTCATTTTAGACACGACTGGTATCCGATATCTGTGTTTACATTAATTCCCACCCAAAATGATTGTCTGCAGTGATCGCTTTACTATGCACATGGTAGACCCTCGGGTTTTAAATCACCGTGCTATTAAAATTATGTATATAATTCACGTCGAATAGCCATTATTATTTGCCAGCACAACGGCTGTCATGGATGTTTTGCTACACAAAATCTGACTGAACGGATAAAGACCGGAAAATAACGGTAATTTTAATTTGTTAGACTATTTTATCTGCAGCTCGTTAGAGGTAGAATTCTTTAGTGAAATAAAGATGATATTTATTTAAATTAATTCGAATTAATTAAGGAGAGAGAGAGAGCACGAACGAACGCATGCACACACGTGCGAGCGAGCGATTGTGAAGCATTGCAAACAAGCTCGGTTTAATTACAAAAACTGCCAAGTTATCACCTCATTGCTGAGAAATATATGTAGCTTTTAGCTGTTGTATTTTCAAAATTCACGGGGCGGGGGTTGAAAACCAGCTCCTGAATGTGCAATTTCTTACCTTTAAAAAGTTTCCATCTCAATAAAATGCGAGCGCATACAGCACGCCGGCATTAAACATCTTTCTGAGCAAACGTGTCGCCCTCGCACTGGGACTTCTGTGGAGAATCGGATATGTGTGTTTAGACGTAGGACGTTCAGTTTTTAATTGTAGTGTCTGTTCTTTTACTGAACTAAATTATTTTTATTTCTATAAAAAAATCAAAACGAGGGTGGGGGTCGGTGACGCGGTGGGCAAGTGAAGTAACCGGTGTTGCGGCTTAACACCGGTATCACCGTCAGCACCGTCTATCGCGGCAAGCCTACCAAGAAGATGCATCGAGGCAAGATGAATGTAGAGCTGCTGGTCTCATTGGTGTCTGAACACAAAGGGCTTTATGACAAACGCGACAGCGACTACACAAATCTCGATAAGAGGGAGTTGTTATGGAGAGGAATTGCAGATCAAATAGGATTTATCTGCAATGTGTACCGGGGTATTTCTGTTTTTTATTCTAATGTCAGGGAGTGAGTTTGCATGTTCACTCGGCTCATCGTCAGCGAAAATCGCTTGGGTATGAACACAAAAGACGCGTCGAAAAACGTCGGCGATAAGCGCGCGCGATAATCGTCCCGGTGTGTACGAGGCTTTACACTCAAAAGTTTGGGGTCAATATATTTTTTTAATTAATCATTTTATTGGGCAAGGGTGCATTATACTGATCAAAAGTGACAAAATAGATCTATAATGTTACAAAATATTTAAAATGTTTTTTTGAGTGTCCACAAAAACCACAGATGTTTTCAACATTGACAATAATAAATGTTTGAGCAGCAAATCAGCATATCTGAATGATTTCTGAAGGATCATGTGACACTGAATACTGGATTAATGGCTGCTGAAAATTCAGCTTTGTCATCACAGAAATAAATTACATTTTTAAAATTGATTGATTAAGACAAGTTTTTTTTTTTTTTTCAAAAACAAAATTTAAATCATTCAAACATTTTGAATGATATGTCAGTATACGTAGTAATCAGTCAAATTCTAATCTTGTTCCTGATAATGGAGATGGTCATGTGATATTCACCGAAGAGATGTAGAACAACCAAACTATTTTTAGTTGTCATTATAGTAAACTGAATACATTAAACTGCTGTGAACGTTGGGAGTCCTACAGAATAAGTAATGATGTCCTAAAGCTAATCATCAAGTGGGAATAAAAAGGATTGTAAAAAAACAATTTTATAGTGCACTGCAATATCCCTTTAAATAAACACTCAAATATGCTCAAGATTAAATCCTAATACAAGAAAATGTGAGATGGCTCAGTGCAGGCAGCGAGATGGCATGGAACCAAACCTTCAGGGAATAAACAAAAGAAACAGACAGAATATTAGAATGCTGTCAAGATGAAGTCGCTCAGAGGTACAGAAGAAATCAGAAGCTCAGAGGTCTAGTCTAGTGTGCAGATTTTCATTAACGCCGAGCATATAGGGAGGAAAAACACTTACTCACACTTCCAGTAAAACTGCAGACATATGACATTTGAGAAAGCACAGTATCTAGCAATGGGGACATTTGCGCAATATTACACAATTATGTGAGCAGGAAAAAAATTTTTTTGTATGGATTATAGGATTTTACCTCTGACTAGAGAAATATATAAAATAACTGGTAAATTAAGATAAATAATTATGTCTTGTTTTCTTAAACTGCAAAGAATGCAAGCTCTGGGCTATAATTGGTTCCACCTTATACAACTCGCATGTCAGGACAACATATGATCACATTAATTCTTGATGACATTACTGAGCTCATATTAGCTGCTACTGAGACGAGCCCATTCTTCAAGAAACTTTAAGAAAGTGAAAGAATCAGATTATTCTAATTACTGAATCTCTGGCCTTTGACAATCAGGTCCATTGAAACCTCTGACCTTTATAAACAAAAGCAACTAGCTTTTTATTGAAAATTGTTGCATAAATTCAGCATCAGTCTGAGGTCAGTCATGAGATGCGGTTCAATGAATCAGTTTTCAATCACAGATGTTTTGTCTCCCTCTACTGTGAGCTTATGTCTGCAGCTGTAGACTTACTTCCAGAAAGAGTTCACAGGTTTTTCTTTCATAATGTTTATAATGTTATGTTTGAATGATTAGTGACAACAAATGCACACCAGTTATCATCCAGGAACTAACATAATAAATGTATAGATAAATGTATTATTATTATGAATTATTATTATTATTATTATTATTATTATTATTATTATTATTATTATTATTATTATTATTATTATTATTATTATTATTATTATGAGAAGAAGCTGTCTATATTGACACCCATGGTCTTGTGGGCAGCGCGCCGACATACAACGCCTTTGTGCTTCGGGTGTCTCGAGTTCGAGTCCCCTCTCTCTCACCCACTTCACTTCCTGTCGACCTATACTGTATACCTATATCTAAATAAAAGCATAAAACGCCATAAATAAACCTTTAAAAAGAAGAAGTAGATGTCTATTTGTCTGCTCAGCCCTACTCATGCAGTTTCAAAATACAAGTTTCTTAAGATGAACTGCTAAGATCTAAGTGGAGGATAAACATGACCAGGAGATCATAACGTTTTCTAAACTTTCATAAAGTTTTCTGATCCCTCAAACCTCCTTTAAAATGCAAAGAACTTCTGTGAGAACAACTTTAAAGCTGATGTTTGCAGTTCAAAACAACCTTGACTTCCCTGAATCTGTGCTATCAAAGCGTTGACCGTCTGAAGACTTGTGAGAGCCCAGGTTTTAGAAGTAAAGAGCTGACAGAGCTCACAATCTCTCAAAATGTCCTCAAACGATGAAAGAACTCAATAGAAACAGCTATTTCACATTTGGTAAAACAACTGGCAAATGCCTTCAGTCATCAATCCTCAGAAACACACCTGAAGTAACTTTCTCATTGTAATGGGTTGATACTAGCTCATAGATTATGACTGATTGTTGTGCTTTACGTCTAATTTCAACCAACATTAGCCAGGACAAGAAAATGATTAGCAACACCACAGACCTGAGGGATGAACCAAATGACTAAGTTAACTTGACAGGTTTAAATTGATATGAAGACTACAGATTATGTCACACCCAAATGAAACTACCATGTGCTCCTACCTTTTTTTTTTTTTTTTTTTTTTTTTAAAGGGGGGGTTTGGGGAAGGCCCAGACC